CAGGTGGAGGTTCCAGGTTGAAGGGGGAGGGTTGGCTTGAGGAAGAGAGGGATGGGTGGGAATTGCAGAGTTGATGTCCCTTGGAGCCGAAGGGGAGAAGCCAATGCACCAGGCCACCGGTGACCCTGGTGACAACGGCCGTGGGTGTCCACGGGGAAGACCACCGAGGTGAGGATGGATGAAAATGGGGGGATGAGGATGGACGGAGATGGGGATGTCTTGTCCGGATGCAGGGGTGGATGGAGATGGAGGTGGCTTACCGGATGGAGGGGACGCTGTAGGGAGCCTCAGGAGTTCACTGCTGTCGGTGCCAGTGCTCTTTTGGATTTGCCTGGGTGGTGACCTGGAGCACCTGAGCCTCGGGGTGTGCGGCCGCGCCAGGCCACGGAGTGGTGTCCCCTGGTGAAGTGGTCGTACCAGGCCAGGAGGTCAGTTGAGTAGTGGTGGTGCCGTTTGGGGCTGTATCGGGGGCTGCAAATAAAAACCTTCAGACAGATCATTAATGATTAACTGATTGACCAGCCAGTTTGGACACATTTTTAACTAGAGCAGCATTCTTTCCAAGCTTACTGGACTCACTGCTCTTGAAAAAAAAAGGTCCCTGCCAGCTATGGGTATCTGTAAAGAGGGTTTTTTAAACAGATCATAGGAAGCAGGCCTCCTATAAACAGGCACTCATGCTTGTATTTGAAAGTTTTTGGGAACTTACATTGTGATTCATTCATAGAAAATCAAGTCCTTTTTTTCTGGCATATATGTGAATGGGGCTCAAAACTGTAGCTCAGCTGCCTGTTTATACTGCCCCTTGGCTGCGCATGTAAACAAGGCCTTAGATATCTCTGTAGACAAGAAGATAAACTTTATGGCATCAATGTTAGGAAGATTCAGGTTAGGCCTATAGTTTGTGCAAAACATGTGTAAAAAAGGTGTGATGGAACACTATTCGCCATCATAAAAACCAGTTGTGTTATATAATCCCATTGTGATCCCATTGTGATCGTATAATCCCATTGTGATGATTAAATAAGTAGAAAATATGCTTGCCTGAGTATTCCTTAAAGTGATACTAAAAGATATAATTTTTTTTGTTTAAAATAAAAAAGAGGCTATGCATACCTACAATATTGCACAGAAAGGTCCCTTACCTCCTTTTCTGGCAGTCCCCACCAGCACTTTCCACTCCTCCCTCTTCCAGGTGTCTCCTTAACAATCCGAGTTGTAAGGAGGCATCTGTGAGTACACACTCTCGAGCCAGGCTGTGCACATCCATAGGCGCACACACAGCACTGGTAAGCCACGCCCACTCCCTCCCCACAGGAGTTCACAGCAGCAAGAGCCTAAGGCTCCGCTGCTCTCAGTTTCTCCTGTGAAAGCAGAAAGAGAAGGGAGTGGTGCTGGAGATGATAGCGCTGAATCGGTGACAGGACTCAGGTAAGTGTTTACGGATGGTGGTGGTAGGACAGGTAGTGGGGTGTTTTACAACCACTTTACCTTTAGAACAGTGCAGAATGACTTACAGTCAGCTGCATTTATTAGCAAAGCCTCTGGCTCACTAAGGAAAATAGTTATTCTCAATGATTTATGATTAAGGAGCTTATAGAGAATTCATTTTAAAACAAAATTGGTTGTTATGGGCAACACTGCAGGGTTTCCTTTGCTCCAGTGTTCAAAATCAGTCTCTTATTTTTGGAAGTAGGGTTTAAAGAAGAACTTCAGACAAGTGTATCAAAACCCATCCAGTTATGTGTGGATTTAATCAGGTATAATTTATCTATTTTAATAAAGTGAGGCATTACACAGAGCTGTCTAATATAGTTTCAGGTGGGGGGGGGGGTTAAGCTGGCTGAGCTAGAGAGAGAGGTATGGGGAGGCCTTTACAGATCAAGTGATGCTTATTTACATTCCAGTAAGCATGCTAAGGATAATGACAGAGGGACGAGTATACAAGTTGTAAATAGTGGTGTCACCCACTTTTTATATGCTATGTGACAGAGCTGTGTGAATCAGAAGAGTGACTGAGCAGGTTTATAAAAATTTAGCAAAGAAAAACAATTCAAGTATATATACCGTACATTATGTTGCCAAAAGTATTGGGACACCTGCCTTTATAAGCACATGAACTTTACTGGCATCCCAATCTTAGTCCGTATGGTAGCGACCCTTTCTTTCCCAAATGTTTGTAGAAGCAGTCTGCATGCCTAGGTGCTTGATTTTATACACCTGTGGCCATGGAGGTGATTGTAACATCTGAATCCAATGATTTGGAGGGGTGTCCCAATACTTTGGCAATATAGTAGTGTATTTAGATATTTGGCTAGTATTCTGTTTTATTGGTATGCTTGTAAATGTTATGTATAATGCTACTGGGTTATGCTGCCATCTTCAGGACACATTTCAAAATGCATTTTCCTGCAATCAATGTAAATAAATTCAACAGTGTGCCGTATAAGATATAATTACAATAGAGCACGCTCAAAGCTCATGCATGTTGCCACCAAGTTGCTGCTTTAGGCCCATAGGTCTGGTGCATTTCATAAATTGTAATCTAAAAACAGCTTTCTGGAAATATGTGCTCTGCAGGTACAGAACACATTTGTGTGCTTTGTACTTTGGACTCTTTAGTATAGGAGCCTCTCGGTGTCTGTGTACATAAGCCTTTATACATATATATACAAGCAAAGAGGTAGATTTACTTTTGTACAATGTCAGTGACAATGGAGAGGAATAAAAGCTCATAGAGGTTCTAACTTTTCCCACTCAAAAACGTTGTATCTTTGTTGAAGAAATTTTCTGTCACTTTCCCTATGACAACATTGTGAGGATAGGAATCCTCATCAGAGCTATGGATAGAAATAAATGCCAGATAAAGATTCTGGGTTTTTTTTATAAATTGTTTGCTCAGTATAAACCACATTTCCACAGTCATTCAGAAGAGATCAATAAGTCTTCAAAGAACTACATCCAGATGTCTATTTTAAAGTATAACTGAAGACACATTTTTTGTGTTGGACAAAGTGAAGCGAGATTAGAACACATGCCAGGTTTTTATTGCGGTCTGCATTGTGTCTCCATGTTAGGGAGATTGACATTCTTTATTTGCCCTGTTTACCATTAAAGCCAAAATGAAAGTGAAAATATCCAGACTTTTGGGTTGCCACCAGAACAGAAATATAAAGGCAATCTTCCAGTGGGGACACTCAATTTGAAGGGATTTCCCCTCATTTCTTGTTTTAGCTATGGGACAGGAAATGAAGTGAAATCTTTCCAATGGGACACAGATAGAAAAAACCCAACAGGGGTTATAACCTTCCCTTTATCCATCTAAAATGAAAGAAAAAAGTTTTGCCTTTAGTCTTGGTGACTAGTGCAATCCTTTACAAAGTGTATAGTAAAGCAAAAGATGTTAAGTTAAGTCAAAACTAAAAAACAAAATATGGCTGGTGTTATTCTTTAACCCCTTCCCACCCGGCCCCTGCGTCCCTTTAGCGGGGTCTTACACCCAGGGAGCAGAAAGTACCAGCCAATCATGGGACCACTTGCCAGCGGGACTGGCTCACAATCATTAGTAGAAGCCAAGAGGTCTCTGACGGCTCAGTTACTGTGCTGGGAGTGAGCACACATTTAGCATAGAGGGAGGTGTGTTTGGGATAAAAAATAAATACCAGTGTATTTTAAAATTTGTGCTCCTATGTGAAATGCCTGAAGCAAAGGGTTCAAAAAATTAAATCGGACACAAGGGGGCGCCAATCTCAGTGTAGAGAGTTAAAGATTTATTGGTAACGAGGTTTAAAAACTACTCACAAACGTAAGAAATATAATAGCATGGTAAAGGAATACCTTTGGTAAGCCCTCAGTCTGCCAATGATGTGAAGATGGATCCTGGTTATGCAGTATGAGCAGAGATGCAGCCATCAGTGTTCAGCAATGCAGAGAGTTTTGAAAATGGCGCGGAAACCATTGTGGACCGCAAGGAAGTCAGAACCAATGACAGGGCAGGAACAGGGTCAGGTGACATGTTTCGAAGCACTTGCTTCTTCTTCAGTCATACTTACCTAGTTGGATACAGCATTGGTCCGATGTTACATATGTCCCCTACCGCTTCTAAGACCAAGAACTGAGCAATCAAAGACTGCTGATCGCTCAAATCTCAGTCTTTAGTGAGCAGAGAGCTGGCGACTATCAGTCAACTGCTCTCTGCTCTGCTCCTCCAGTGCTCTCTAGAGCACTGGGCTGTGGAGGAGGCAGGAAAATATGGCTCAGGCTCTCAGTAGCTTACTGAGAGGCTGAGCCAGCTGCCAGTTAGGAACCTGTGTAGATCCCAACTTTAATGTTGTGATCTCTCCAGAGTCTGGACTGGCTCAGTGATGTCATAGGACAATGAACTGTAGCCCACTGCCGGCTGAAGACTGGTCACAGGAGTGCATTCATAGAAGAAGTAGTGCCAAAAGAGCTTTGTGCACGGGGTGCTTATATCACCCACAATCCTAGTTATCTTGTTCCCATTTTATTACTATAACAATACAACATTAAGACAGCTACTGTGAGTAGAGTACTAAACTGCTCTTCACAATTTTTCTGCAAGTCTACATGATTAGTGTCAGCAGTGGTAGGTAAGGAAAATATCTGCAGGAATACATTTAGAAAAATTATTATTGCTGCTGTTTAACTTTTTATAAAGCTAATATGAAAACCTTAGTTTTTGGTTAACTCTAATTTTCTAGTCCACTAAGATTAATGTACACTCAAAAAAAACAAAAACAATTGTAACTGGTGCTCTCTGTTGTGAAATCTGAGTTTGGTATAAGTCACATAGGAGAGGGTTTAGATAGGTGCAGTAGAGGAATTTGGACTAGTTTTTGGAATGGATGAAGGCCTGCTTGATTTTTGATATGAAGATACATACAGAAATTTATCCTGATGGTTTTTCTGTAGTTTGCCATTTTGATGGGTGCTTGCTTCATCTCACAATAAAAGCCTGTGACCTCCTTTTCTTTGATCAGAGTTTGAGCACTATGGATGTGTTCTCCTCTCCCACGTCCACCTTCAAAAATCCAGGACAGATACTGATCCTCCTGCAGCATCAATCACTGGCCAGTCGTATCAAAGTGATGGTACAGAAGGCAGAAAGCCTGGGCAAACTTACACGGATTCCTGGAGCACCAGGTAAAAGGCCATATTATCAAGAACTGTATTGACTAATAAAGGGGCAAAGAGATCACAAAATTCTAAGTTCATATTTTATTTTTTTATGTGAAAAAAATAATAAAATATTTTTATATATGTTTGTGGTTAAAATGTAACTGCATCGAAAGAGCAGTAAATTTATATCAGAGCACCCCCTCTCAGTCCTATACTTCCCTTAACTGTCCCTATCCACTGACATATCACTGCCTAGGACAAATATCCCAAATAGGCCTACACATGAATTCTGAAATCTTATTAATTGCATACAATTCAATACTCAGAAGTCTATAGGAATAAATAGCTTTGCAGGGCACATGCATAGGCCTGGCCAGAAATATTTTGACAAGTGACTGATCTTGGTGATCTAGTAAATGAAATCTTACTGGACTTGGAACAGGTAAGTATAAGACAGGAGGAGGGTGCCCTGTAAATGTAAGCATTTTTTTTTACAGTTTCAAATAAGAAACATGGCAGACCTTTAAATCTGAATAGGATGAAGAGAATGTTACAGGATATACTTTCTGGGTAGCATTGCACTGCGAAATAGTGCTCCTTCTATTGAACTTTAGGATGTTTATTTACTAAAAGAAAATAGGCTGTTCAATTTACAAAGAAATTTGTCCCAGAACTTGAATTAGGTGAAGTTTGGCTGACTTCCACCATCCAATCATGTGCAAGCAAAAATGCTGTTTTTTTTTTCATTTTCTTTGCATGTGATTGAGTATTCTTTGGCTTCACCACATTCTCTAATCTCTGGGGTTAATCCCCTTGCAAAATGCAACTTCCCTTACAAAGTGAACAGCCTCTTTGTCTTAATTAAATCAACCACATGGTATATTTGTAATTTTGCAGTATTTGAGAGCTCCCACTATATATTTACACTGATCAGCCATAACATTATGACCACCCTCCTAATATTGAGTAGGTCCCCCTTTTGCCACCAAAACAGCCCTGACTCATTGAAGCATGTACTCCAAAGTGACATCCACGTGAATGGCAGGACCCAAGGTTTTCCAGCAGAACATTGTCCAAAGCATCACATTGCCCCTACTGGTTTACCTTCTTCCCAAACTACATCCTCGTGCCATCTCTTCCCCAGGTAAGCAATGAACATGCACCAAGCCATCCACATGATGTAAAAGAAAATGTGATCTATCAGACCAGGCCACCTTCTTCCATTGCTCGATGGTCCAGTTCTGATGCTCACATGCCCATTGTAGGTAGTTTTGGCTGTGAACATGGGTCAGCATGGGAACCCAGACTGGTCTGTGGCTATGAAGCTATACCCATATGCAACAAACTGCAATGAACTGTGTGTTCTGACACCTATCAATCAGAATCAGCAGTTTGAGCTACAGTAGCTCTTTTATTGGATCATTCTACACAGGCCAGCCTTCGCTCCCTATGTGCATCATTGAGCCTTGGCTGCCCATGACCTTGTCACTGGTTCACCAGTTTTCCATCCTTGGATGACTTTTGGTTGGTACTCACCACTGCAGACTGGGAACATCCCACAAGAGCTGCAGTTTTGGAATTGCTAAGACCCTTTGGGCAAGCTATTACAATTTGGCCCATGTCAAAGTCGTTCAGATCTTTTACACTTGCCCATTTTTTTCTGATTTCAACACAACTACTTCAAGACAACATGTTTACTCACTGCCTAATATATCCCCCCCACACTTCCAGATGCCATAGTAATGAGATGATCTATGTTATTCACTTTGCCTGTCAGTGGCCATGATGTTATGGCAGATTGGTGTATGTGTTTCCATTCACATAGGAAAAAAAAAGTGTATATATATATATTTATTTATTTTTTTCAAGTCATTTCTTTAAAGCAGGATTATACATAGGACACTGTAGGCAGCTTCTATTGCTTTGAATAGATGACAAAGTGCAGTTAGGGAACAAAAGTGAGCAACAGTTCTTTTAAAAGTGCACTCGCGTACAGCCAAGCCTTGAAATCTTGAACCCATTGTTAGGACAGATAATCTAGCTCATATAGTTTAGAGGTGATAATTAAATCTGCCAGCACAGTACAGACAGGGTTACAGTGTAATTAAAGGCAATATGTTTTATTTTTAGTTTTAGAGGGCTTCAACACCTGTCAGGTTTTTATTGCTGTCAGTGTCCCTGTTAGGGAGATTCAATCTCTCTAATTGTCCTTTTTACCATTGTCCGCAAGAGAGAAATTAAACGAAAATCACAGATTCTGAGTTGTCACCAGAACAGGATTAGAGGGAAAATCTTCCAATGAGGACACTAGATCTGGTGATTGGTCACTTTGGAGGTATTTTCTATCACTTATTGCTTTGACTATGGGGCAGAAAGTGAAGAGAAATCTCCCCAATGGGGAAAAAAACCTGAGAGGGGTTATAATCCTCCTTTACTCTATCTAAAATGGAAAAATAAATTGCCTTTGGTTCTACTTTAATTATGACAAACACAAGTCCCCAGCCCCCTCATAAACAGGGGGCACTAAGTAGGATTTTTTTTTTTAGTTCAGAAGTTTTCAGAAAAGAGCATTTAAAAAGTATGCTGGTTTATTTTATTTTGCATTGTTGTTTTATTTTGCGCGGGGAGCGAGCGCGCAGGGCGTGCGCTCTCAGCACATATGTTTTTTGTTAATTGCACACAAATGTGCGGCCGCTCGGCGCCAAGGCCCAGATGCCGGGAGGCTGCACATTTGCGTGCGGATGGCGTGAAGAGGTTAACATTGACACCCCTTTCAGATTGCATGGACACTGCAATTGTAATGCGGTGCGGGAAACGCACAGGATTCGCTGTGTTTCCCGCACCGCATTAGTGTGAACCAGGGCTTAATGATAATGGGAAACAGGACAAAGACAGAGGGTGAATCTCCCTACAAGGGGGCACAGATTGCAATAAAAAGCTAAGAGGTGTTCTAACCCATCTCCATTCTGTCCGAAATGAAAAAAAAAAGTTTTTCCCTTAGTTATATTTTAGGATGCTAATGTACAGATGACACATATGCCACATCCATGTACATCCTGGTGCTTGCACAGTATGATGATCCTGGTGCTTGCACGGTGTGATGATTTTGGTTGTATGTATACAGAAGACCCACACAGCTTAGCCCCCTGCTACTGCCCCTGGCCTTGGGAGCTGCCAAAAAGTTACTTTGTAACAACAGAACAAATGAATAATCAATGGCGAAGGGGACTGAGGAAATGCGGCAAACTGATGACGTAATCCTCCCAAAATGCTCCTCTCAATCATTAAAACTTCCAATTCACTAGAGCTAAAGGTCTGCATTGATGGAAAGTAGCGTTTAGAAAGTCTATACTGCTGCTTATTTAGCACATTGTGAAATGACTGATTTTAAGGCACCTGCAGACAATGCGAAGGAGAGAGATGCCCATTTTCTGCAATCAGCACCTCACTTTGACCTACTGTGATTGCAGAGCTATTCTTGCATGTCAGAAGGTCTGTGTCAGCACTGCATGTTATCACACTGAATAATGGATGAGCATGGCTGGTGGGAACAGCATCCTCCCAAGGATTTAGTTTGGCATTTAATGATCAGAAACATGCAATAATGTTACTGTAATGGCAGTTTGTGCATCTTGATCATGGCATAGTAATACTTGGAATAATAGTAGCCTATTATATCTGCGAATATTCTTGGTCATGGTATATCTCGCAGTAATTAGTCACATTCGTCTGGACTTGTTCTGTAATGTTGGAGATGTCTTCAGCGTTACAGAATGAGTTCAATTAAATGTGACTCTCTACTAATAGATAATAGCTAATAATAGTCATTTCTTATGGTCACAGCATATACTCTCATTCTCTAACATCAGCAATGCAATAACAATACAAACAATAGTTATTTTAGTCCAAAATTTCCTTTCATGCTGTGAGCCCTGCCTGTCTGCTGGCCATCTCCTTCCACAATTTCCTGGATTCTCTGCATGCTTTGCAGCTTCCCCTCTGCTGCATACTTTCCATTTCAAAGGACTACATATCCCACAGTACCTTGCTGCCTGCAAGCTCCGCCTCCTGAAACTCCTCCTCTCAGAACCTCTGCAGATTAGAAAGCAGGCTCTGTGAAATATGTGACACATCAGTGCCTACTCACAGGATATAGTGAATGCATGTCACATTGTGGGGATCTTCACAAAGTAAGTTTACAAACTTCAAGACCATTCAGATTAATAGAAGTACGCTAGAAATGAAATGCAATATGGAAATGAGTCAATCCTTTTTCATTTTGATCATAGATATATTTTAAATGTGGTCTCCACTCTTCCTTGCCATTTTTTTTCTTCATACGTGTAATCTGTCTTCAACTCTAGATCACTTTGTACGCATACGACTGATCCAAGACAATCAGGTAATAGAAATAAAGGAGACACGGACAGTGTCAGGCTCCTCCCCTGTGTGGAATGCTCCGTTCCTCTTTGACACTCCTCTGGAATTCATGCAGAGTCAAAGTCTGTGTCTGGAGTTCCTAATTATGCAGGTGGGTGTATGTTCAATCCATTGAGGTGTTTTGTAAATATTATTAAACAACGGTATTCATAAGTTCCATTTATTATATCTCTCTAACACAGGGGTCTCCAAATTTTTGAAACAAAGGGTCAGTTTATTGCTCTTCAAACTTTAGGAGGGCTGGATTGTGGCCAGTGGGTGTGAAAAATTCCCTGGCATCAGTGGGAGTAAACCATACCCTAGGCTTGGTGGTCAGTGGGAGGAAGAGTGCCCCATCGTTGGTGTCAGTAGGATAATTAGTTCCCCATTTCTGGTATCAGTGGGAACAACAGTGCCCTGTCGCTGGTGTCAGTGGGAGGAACAGTGCCCTGTTGTTGGGATCAGTGAGAGGAACAGTGCCCCGTCATTGGGGTCAGTGGGAAGAACAGTGCCCCATCGTTGGTGTCAGTGGGATTATTAGCTCCACATTTCTGGTATCAGTGGGAACAACAGTGCCCCATTGCTGGTGTCAATGTGAGGAACAGTGCCCCATTGCTGGTGTCAGTGGGAGGAACAGTGCCCCGTCGTTGGGGTCAGTGTGAGGAACAGTGACCGGTCGTTGGGGTCAGTGGGAGGAACAGTGCCCCATCATTGGGGTCAGTGGGAGGAACAGTGCCCCGTCGTTGGGGTCAGTGGGAGGAACAGTGCCCCGTCATTGGGATCAGTGGGAGGACCAGTGCCCTATCATTAGTGTCAGTGGGAGGAATAACACCCCATCGTTGGTGTCAGTGGGAGGAATAGTGCCCCATCGTTGGTGTCAGTGGGAGGCATAGTGCCCTGACGTTGGTGTCAGTGGGAGGAACAGTGCCCCGACGTTGGTGTCAGTGGGAGGAACAGTGCCCCGACGTTGGTGTCAGTGGGAGGAACAGTGCCCCGTTGTTGGGGTCAGTGGGAGGAACGGTGCCCCGTCGTTGGGGTCAGTGGGGCGAACAGTGCCCCGTCGTTGTCAGTGGGAGGAACAGTGCCCCGTTGGGATCGTTGGGATCAGTGGGAGAACCAGTGCCCTATCATTGGTGTAAGTGGGAGGAATAACGCCCCATCGTAAGTTGGTGTCAGTGGGAGGAATGTTGCCCCATTGTTGGTGTCAGTGGGAGGAATATCACCCCATTGTTGGTGTCAATGGAAGGAATAGTGCTTGGTAACAGTGGAAGGAAAGGTGCCCAAAGGGCCGGATAGAAGCAAGCAAAGGGCCACATCCGGCCCACGGGCTGCAGTTTGGAGACCCCTGCACTAACACCTCTATCCCAGATGTAGTTTTGTTTGACTTTTGTGGTATTGGCAGGTTTGAGGGTCTGAAGAAATCAGTTCGTGAAAAATGAAACAGTAAGGGCCTCTTCACATGGGTGGCAAAGTAATGAAAAAAAACAGGCAGTTGATCCACATTTTTACTGCCCTCCTAAATGCTGACATTGCATCTGTGTTATAAACACACCACTTCGTGGCAGCGGTACTTCTAACTCAGCCTGCAGAATTAGACAGATGCCAGCACCTGGTAAACTTGCCCATTGATATCAATGGGACCGTGCAGCAACCGTGAGTCAGCCACTTGGCTCGTGGTTGCAGCATGGAATTTCCATGCACAGCCCCCTTGGGATTAAAAACCAAAACATTTTTTGCAAAGCGGCAGTGCCTGGCAGCCCACCACTCTACTGCCTTCTGGAAAGTTATCCAAGATGGATCATTTTTCAGAGGGGGGTAGAGACTTCTGCCCGTGTGAAAGAGCCCTAACTGTATTTTTACAAGAGTTCTTTAGTCTGTCTTTATAGTACCTTCCTGCCATCCCCTTGTACAGCAAAGTTAAGATTAGGAGAGGACGTGGCAATAGTTGGAAATCAATTAATAATATGTCACAGGCTGGGGGAGGGTCTCTGACTAATGCAGTCCATACATGGTTTGAATTCTGAACGAATTTTCTTTAGAAAATCAGAAATTTCATGTGTTTTGTAATCTGGTGGTGCCACCATTCGAAATTATACCAACCAAGTCTTCAATTTCACCTCATGTTGCTAAAGAAAATAATTTTTGTGGCTGAGAATCTTATTTTCTTTCCAGGTCACAGCTCATTTCTTTTTTGTTTATATTTCTCACACGATTCTCTCATCATTGGTTAGAAATTTGTTAATTTAAAAAAAAAAATTTCTAGCATGCCCAGTCACTCAAATTTGATGAAATCAGCGGATGTTGCAGCCCACTAATGGTGCGAAATTTGAATGAAAATTCTTAGTTACGATTTTCAACAGAAAATTTGTTTGGAATTTGACCCATGTATAGCCTGCGTAAGTTATATTGCTTTAACTGCTGTGGAAAGAAGTGAGGTCGGAGTCTGGTTGTGCTTTCAGAAATGTCTGCTTTGGAAGACCAGGCTAAATAGAATTAAACATTATTTGTAGGACTTTTTTTTCTCAAAAAATAGGTACAGGAACGCCCCCCTTCTGAGTCACTTCTTGTCTCTGCCCCCTACCCACCTCCGAGCACTGTCACTTGGTTTCACCCCCCACCCACCTCTCAGTACCTCTCTTAGAGAATACAGACCCAAGTATCATTTTGTGGTGCTAAATAATTTGAATGGGATTTGTTAATGATAAGAAAAGCAGAAAAATAGATCCCCCACAGCCAGAAGAAATAGACCTCCTCCAGTAACAATAGATTCCTCCAGCAACAATGGACCCCCAAAACCAAATACCACCCAAGCAACAATAGACCCCCAGCAGCTACAACAGATCTCTCAGCAGCCAGTAACAATAGATCCTCCAGCACACCTCAGCACCCCTTGCCAATACATACATTCTGTGCTGGAGGTGCGGGAACTGCATTCCCCCGCATTCCCCCCGTGTTCCCCTGTGTTCCTGCTGAAAAAAAGTCTTCTTTATTTGGCAAGTAAGAATGTTCAGACCAAAGTAGTTTTGGTACGTTTAGCTGTTTGCCTTTAATTCTGCTCATTTGTCCACATTTATAAAATCCATAAACACCACAAACAAGGGACTTGAAGTGTTTCATTCCTGGTATCTCCTTTCAGGATGTTACATTTCCCTATGAGGTCATCAAAGAGTCTTCTCACACATTTTTCACTTGCTTCAGCTGAAAAAAGAAGAAGAATTTGAACACTTATTTTCTGAGTAAAAATGTAATAAAGGTTTGAAGCGTTAATTTTGTAAATGCCTTAACATGTAAACACATACCATACCATGTCATATAATATACTACAAAGGGTCAAGACCTCAGTTTTGCCTTTTTTAACTGCAAACCCAGCGTGATATCAAGCCAGTTGCGTACAAATTTTCAATCAGTAGACATTAGTAAATTGCATCAGTACATTTTGAAATTTTCAGGTTAAAAATACTCCCTTTAATTTTGAGATGTCACTGCTCCAAGCCTGTAATAAAAACCCTCACCTCTGAAACTCTGGGTGCTGACCAAAGGAAGCCCCACCATGCTCTATGTACTCAGCAGGAAAGCAGGACGTTACAGACCAATGATGCCAGATCAAGCCCGTATGTAATAAAATGTTAAAGAAGGGCAGTCCTAACTGGGGTTGCTGTGTATTTTATTAAAGCTGGAAGTAATCTGACTTAATCGGTATGCAACCTTCTGCTTTTCATTTGTTACATAGCAACAAAGAACACAGAAAAAAGACAAAGTAATCCATTGGGTGTGCCCCTCGTTTGATTTTTTTTTTTTTTTTTTTCTTTTTACCTTTTTTTAATCTTTTTGTCTCACTATAGATTGGTTTGTCTCAAAAAAGTTTAAATTTACCCATTGTTGACTTATCTACTGCCTCTACTGGAACTCAAGCATCAACTACTTTGGTAAAAACTACTTTATAAGGTCATTACATATTGAGTTCGTACAGTCTCTCCTAATATGCTTTTTCCCTTCAAACCTTTCATTATTTGTGTTGTTTATCTCTAGATTTGTTCAATCTTAACAATATTTTTTGTAAGTAAAGTCTCCAGACTGGACAAAGTATTCTAAATGACTAAGTTATACAGTGTATGGGAATCATGACCTCTTTCCTCCTGATTCCCTTATATACAGTAGATGTCCTCACATCCTGCAGAGAGATTTGCAGGATCTTAATACAGTCATGGCCAAAAATATTGGCACCCCTGCATTTCTGTCAGGTAATGCACCACTTCGCCCTGAAAACTGTTGCAATTACAAATGTGTCCGCATTCTCATGTTGATTTCTTTTGTTTGTATTGGTATGGCACAAAAAAGTGGAGAAACAAAAAGCCAAATCTGACACATTCCACGCAAAACCCCAAAAATTGACTGGAGAAAATTATTGGCACCCTCAATTTAATATTTGGTAGCACACCCCTCAGAAAAAATACAGTAACTGAAATCAATTGCTTCCTGTAACCATCAATGAGTTTCTTACACCTCTCTACTGGAATTTTGGACCATTCTGCTTTCGCCAACTGCTCCAAGTCTCTCAGATTGGAAGGGTTCCTTTTCCCAACTACTGTTTTGAGATCTCTCTACAGGTGCTGTATGGGTTTGAGATCTGGACTCACTGCTGGCCAGTTCAGTACTCTCCAGCACTTTGTCTGAAACCATTTGTGGGTGCTTTTTGCCGTGAGCTTTGGGTCATTGTCTTGCTTTGACAGAGACCCAACTTTCTGACTATGGGCCCTACACTGCTTCCCAGAATTCTTCGGTAGTTTCAGATTTCATGTTGCCATGCACACAAGCAAGACATCCAGTGCCTGAAGTAGCAAAGCAGACCCATAAAAAATCAGTGAACCTCCACCATGTTTGACTGTAGGAACTGTATTCTTTTTTTTTAATGATGGGCTTTGCCAAAAAGCTGTAATTTTGTTTTGTCTGTCCACAGCACATTCTCCCAAAAGGATTTTGGCTTTCTTGAGTAAGTTTTGGCAAACTCCAATCTGGATTTGTTATGTTTCTGTGTCAGCAGTGGGGTACTCCTGGGTCTCCTACCATAGCGTCCCTTTTCATTCAGATGGCAGCGTATAGTGCGAGCTGACACAGTTGTATCCTGTGTCTGAAGTCGATTGAGGTTCTTTATCCACCATTCAAACAATCCTTTGTTGCAATCTTTGATCAATTTTTCTCTTTCATCCACGTCCAGGGAGATTAGCTACAGTACCATGGGCTGTAAACTTTTTGACAGTGATGGACACAGGAAAATTAACCCCTTGGCGCCGGCGCCTCCCGGCACTTTAAGGGTTTCAGAAGCCAGGAGGCGGGGTTTTAGGGTCATGTGACTGCCACGATTCACCGTCACGGCGGTCACATGATCGGGAAAGGTCCCAATCGAAAGAGGAGATCGAGACCTTTCCGTGAGTACCGGACATGTGTGCTGGGAGCGTGCAAATGTGCGGCCGCTCGGCGTCTAGGCCCAGACACCAAGAGGCTACACATTTGTGTGCGCCCACCGCGAAGAGGTTAAGATCTCTAGAGATGGATTTGTAACCTTGAGATTTTCCATGCTTTAACACAATTTTTGTTATGAAATCATCAGACAATTCTTTTCCTCTTTCTCTTCTCCATGCTCCATGTGGCACACAAATACACACAACAGAAAGGTTGAGTCAATTTCTCACTGTTTTAACTGGTTGCCATGTGATTTCTATATTGTCAGCACCTGTTAATTGATGCAGGTGAGTTTAATTAAAAATTACAGAAGCATCACGAACATAGAATGCAATTATTTTTTACAATTTTGAGAAGGTGCCAATAATTTTGTCCAGTCCACTTTTGGGGATTTTACGTGGAATGTGTCAGATTTGGCTTTTTGTTTCTTCACTTTTTTAGTGTCATACCAATACAAACAAAAGAAATCAACATGAGAATGTCTAAACATTTGTAATTGCAACAGTTTTCTGGGCAAAGTGGTAAATTATCTGATAGAAATGCAGGGGTGCCAATATTTTTGGCCATGAATGTATGTACAGTCTTGAGGAAAGAAAAGAAAGGGCCGACGTGATGTTCTTAATCTTCATAATATATAATTGCCAATTTTGTACTTTCTACCTAGGGTCGAATTTATAATCGTGCCCGAATTCTTGGACGTGTATTAATTGGTGCTGGATCGTCTGAAGCTGGTATGGCTCACTGGCAGGAGATGTGTAACAAATCACCCGTGGAATGTTCCCGCTGGCATATGCTGCAATCATTTGCAACCTAGTGGATTTTAGAGACCACAACGTGGATGAGTTCATCAATTCATAAGAGCAGAGACATTAGAAGAAGAACTTCACTGACCTTTTTTTGGTCTGCAATGGCAATATAACATTATCTAGAAAAGTGGAAACGATTTTGCTATGGTGCCCATGTACTGCCAGAACCCATCTAGTGAAATCTGAATTTTCATTCTTATTTTGGAATGCTCCTCTTGCTCAGCATGTTACAGTCAAAAGCACTGAGTACAATAAGAACACCGCTCTAATGATCCAAATGTGATGCCCCATCCAATGCAAGAATTGCAGTTAAAAGTGTTGGTCGGCTGTATTTAGTAATTTATTCTGCTGCTAGCTGTAAGCTAGTATTCTAATTTTCTCGTATTTTCCTTTAGGAACTCTTGTGAGTCGTATTCCCCAGCTTGGCTATTCCATTACCTATGCACAGAGCTATGTCTGAGTGCAGATATAGTGTTCTAGCTGGACCTCTTGGATCACATATTAAAGCGGAACTCCACCCAAAAGGGGAAGTTCCGCTTGTTGCCATCCCCCCCTTCACTGCCACATTTGGCAGTTTTGGGGGGGAGCGGGTACCTGGTTTTGACAGGTACGTGCTCCCACTTCCGGCTGAATTTGCCACAGTGATCTCTGCCCCCCTCCCTCCCCCGAAGCCTTCTGGGACACATCACAGATCCCAAAAGACTGCGGGACCAATCACAAAGCATAGCACTGCTCATGCATGTGCAGTAGGAAAGCAGCTGTGAAGCCGTAAGGCTTCACTGCCAGTTTCCCTTAGTTAAGATGCTGGCGCCTGCATACGAAGCTGATTAAGGAAATTGGCTCAGGTGCGGACATCCCTGGACATATAAGTGTCCTTATATTAAAAGGCAGTAGCTACAGTATTTGTAGCTGCTGACTTTTAATTTATTTTTTTGAGACCAGAACTCTGCTTTAATATAAAATCATCCAATGGCTATGCACCGAACTTAATGGGGACGTTACATAAGAGCTTATGCTCACATTCTGTGCCTAGGTTTGTTTGCATATACTGTATGTAACATGTATATTTGTAAAGACATCATGTAGAAATATACAAAGCAGAAATATTTAGTGCACTAAACTTAGTAGGACTAGATAATGTTTTAAGGTAACAATCTCCTGCTATATATACAGTATAATTGTACTGCCATAAAACAGACAATAGGGTGTCTGTTTACATTGCCATAATTAATAAACTTCTTTTTCTTTTCTTGTACCATCATTATTCATTATATTGAAAATATTGGGCTTTTGTTTTTCTTAAAGCAGAACTTCACTCTCTCAATCAACATTGACTATTTGAAATCCTTATGCTACTAGCATTAGTAAATAGATAGGAGATTATATCATATTTACTTGTTTTAAACTTTGTTTTTACATTTCTTCAGTTACTTTTTGGTTTCCAAGTTTAGGCAAATTATGCCATACATCCCAGGAATCTTCAGGAGGGAGGAGGAGTTTTCTCAGTTACGCACATCCCTCCTGCCTCTATGCCTGAGCTAAGAACAGATGGATTCCAAGAAGCAGATGCTACAGTAATCATTTGCCATTAGAAGGCAGGCTAACTCCAACACTTTCAATGTTTTCGGGTGTTCATTTTAACAAAAGCTGGTTGAAAATGGTTGTAAGAGGTTGAATTTGTTAAAACAAAAATGCTTGAGTTGTTGGTGAAGTAACAACCCAGTATTTATTGACCTCCACCTTTTTTCCATTCATTGACAGTTCTATGCTAATGTTCCTTAGGCCCAGTGCAAACATTGTGGAGCTGTTTGCAATGCACTGGAAAGGTACTTTGGTAATCTGCAGTTTATAAACAAGCTGAATCATCCACAAAGAAAAATAATCAGTAGCCTTGTCTCTGCTTGATGTCTGGAAGGCCCAGCTACAGCCTTTATGCCAGTGGTTCTCAACCTTTCTAATGCCGTGACCCCTTAATACAGTTCCTCATGTTGTGGTGACCCCCCAACCATAAAATTATTTTTGTTGCTACTTCATAACTGTAATTTTGCAGTGTGAGGACTAGCGCCCCATCACTGATGTCAGTGGGATGAATAGTGTCCCATCGTTGGTATCAGTGGGATGAATAGTGCCCCATTGTTGGTGTCAGTTGGAGGAATAGTGTCTCATCGTTGGTGTCAGTGGGAGGAATAGTGTCTCGTCATTGGTATCAGTGGGAGGAATAGTGCCCCATCATTGGTATCAGTGGGAGGAATAGTGCCCCATCATTGGCATTAGTGGGAGGAATAGTGTCCCATCATTGGTGTCAGTAGGAGGAATAGTGCCCCATCATTGGTATCAGTGGGAGGAATAGTGCCCCATCATTGGCATTAGTGGGAGGAATAGTGTCCCATCATTGGTGTCAGTAGGAGGAATAGTGCCCCATCATTGGCATCAATGGGAGGAATAGTGTCCCATCATTGGTATCAGTGGGAGGAATAGTGCCCCATCATTGGATATCAGTGGGAGGAATAGTGCCCCATCATTGGTATCAGTGGGAGGAATAGTGCCCCATCATTGGTATCAGTGGGAGGAATAGTGCCCCATCATTGGTGTCACTGGGAGGAATAGTGCCCCATCATTGGTGTCAGTGGGATGAATAGTGCCCCATTGTGGGTGTCAGTGGGAGGAATAGTGCCCCATTGTGGGTGTCAGTGGGAGGAATAGTGCCCCATTGTGGGTGTCATTGGGAGGAATAGTGCCCCATCATTGGTGTCAGTGGGAGGAATAGTGCCCCATCATTGGTGTCAGTGGGAGGAATAGTGCCCCATCATTGGTATCAGTGGGAGGAATAGTGCCCCATTGTGGGTGTCAGTGGGAGGAATAGTGCCCCATTGTGGGTGTCAGTGGGAGGAATAGTGCCCCATTGTGGGTGTCAGTGGGAGGAATAGTGCCCCATTGTGGGTGTCATTGGGAGGAATAGTGCCCCATCATTGGTGTCAGTGGGAGGAATAGTGCCCCATCATTGGTGTCAGTGGGAGGAATAGTGCCCCATCATTGGTATCAGTGGGAGGAATAGTGCCCCATCATTGGTGTCAGTGGGAGGAATAGTGCCCCATCATTGGTGTCAGTGGGAGGAATAGTGCCCCATCATTGGTGTCAGTAGGAGGAATAGTGCCCCATCATTGGTATCAGTGGGAGGAATAGTGCCCCATCATTGGTGTCAGTGGGAGGAATAGTGCCCCATCATTGGTGTCAGGGAGATGGAGGGGGGAATAGTGCCCCATCATTGGGGTCAGGGGGGGGAATAGTGACCCATCATTGGTGTCAGTGGGGGGGGGAATAGTGACCCATCATTGGTGTCAGTGGGGGGGGGGGAAATAGTGTCCCATCGTTGGTGTCGGTGGGGGGAGGAATAGTGCCCCATTCTTGGTGTCAGTGGGGGGAGGAATAGTGCCCCATCGTTGGTGTCAGTGGGGGGAGGAATAGTGCCCCATCGTTGGTGTCAGTGGGGGGAGGAATAGTGCCCCATCGTTGGTATTAGTGACACAAATGATGGGGCACTATCCCTTCCACTGACACCAATGATACTTACCTTGCTGACTCCTGCTCCAGCCTGGGCTTTCTCTCTCTCTCCCTCTCCCATCTACAGCCAGCATACCTGGCTGCAGCAGCAAAATTTGCACTTACCTGTCAGCTGTCTTCCTTCTCTGGCCTCTCTCTTCACTCGCTCCTGCAGCTCCCTCGATCTTCTTTGATCTCCGCGCGCTGCCGCTCGGCTCCTCCTCTCCAAGCTCCACCTCTTCGCCGGTGATTGGCCGCCTGTGTGCCTCTCCTGAGCTACAGTTCCGGTGGCCAATCAGCGGCGAGGAGGCGGAGCTGTTGAGTGATCACGGAGGTGTGGCCAGGTTACAGGGGCAGCATATCATCCCGCCCACAGATCGCCTGAGACAGGAGTGGTGTCTCGGTTCCTAAGACCATCGGAAATATGTGTTTTCCGATGGTCTTAGGCGACCCCTGGGAAATGGTCCTTCGACCCCCAAAGGGGTCGCGACCCCCAGGTTGAGAACCGCTGTTTTATGCTCTTGCAGCAAACCAGGGGGATAGCACCATTGGCCAAAGCTATCCTCTGTCTGTCACATCATAAAGAAGGATGCACTTGTAGGCAGATGGTATCTGATGGTGCTGTGCCAGCATAGAGAAGTAGATGATATGGCTTATTTGTACCTATTGCACTCTTTATCAAAGTCACTTTAAATGATCAAGGGGCGAAAACTGCTACTTTGCCTTAATCTGTTTCTGGTTATATCCCCATAGTAAAGACAAAATTTTATTTCTGATATTGTTTCTGATTTGGTATTGAGGTGTTGTAAAAAAACACACACACAAATACTTTTGAATTGTTATATTTACAATGAACAAATGGTACAGTTAAGAAATATGATTTGTGTTGATTCTTAAAGTGGAACTAAAGTCACATACTTAGCTCCTCTGCTGACACCCTCATCTTCTCCTTGGCTTCTTCCAGGTATCCGTCTTTGGCCGTCTTGATTGTCTGGTGCAGGTTGATGTAACTCCTAAGCATGCTCAGGAGTCATTCATCTTGGTATTTAGGAACCATGCTGGCCATATAAACTGAGCTGGGCGTGCGCATATAGGCTGTGGAGTAGGAGCAGGCCCAGGCGGTAGCCACCCAGTGGTAAAGCACGGCACACACAGTAGCTGAAAATGCAGAATTGTATTGTCAAAATGTTCCAGATACAGAAAGCATTCTCAACCAGGGTTTCTCCCATGGTGGTCAGGGGTTCATTGAGCTCTGGCTAACTGACCTTTCATGTGATGGTGCATGCATAGTTCCAGGTCCAACACCATTTGGCAGAGCCAGAGGCTTAATTGTCATGTTGGCATTCTGGCCATCGCTGTAGGTGGAGTATTCTTCCCAATGATCATCACCAATGTAAGGGGCTCCCAATGACCACCAATGAACTAATCTTAGCAGGGGTTCCTTGAGACCTAAAAGTTTTTACAAGGC